TCCTGCTGAGTGTAGGGGGCTGGTGCTGAACAGATGTAAACAATGTCTATTCATGTGATGAAGGCATACACAAGGTTATAAGAGTTAAAGAATCCTAAAGCAGAGATTTTTTTCCTAAAACATTAGCACTCAGTATGGCTGAGTAGCCTGTTCAAAATTAGAAACTATATCTCACCAATCAGCTTTATAAAACTAAATAGTTTGAGCACTGACTTGTTTGAAGTTATTTTCTAAATAGTATGAAGTGGGATCAAAATGTACAGTGACTGTTTAAAGTTAGAAAATTATTATAGTAAAAGACACATTGCCAGTCATTCTCTTTGAAATATTCCCCTCCCTTTGAACATGCTTGTCCGATCATTCTCACCATGTCCTGGAGCAATTCTGGAAGTCTTCATGCATGTCTTTTGTGTGCTGTTGTGGCTGTTTCCGTATTCTGTCTTGATTCAAATTAAAAACACTGTGTTAGTCCCTGAAGCTGGCACTATGCAACGTCTTCAAAGGCAAAATGACCATGAAAAGTAAACTTCTTGAATCAATTCAGGACTTTAAGGCAGCCGCAACAGTGCAACTAAAGACACTCAGATGCCCCAGAACAGTTTCCCTGCCTGCCATCTTCATCAGCCCCTTTATTCAGTCCCCTTTCTTTTCATCTTAGCCAGACTTACAACTTGCTGCTCACAAGCCAATTGAGGAAGTGGGTTATTCCCGTATTTGGGGTAGGTGATCTGACAAATGTCATGGCTGTTCCTCCCTTGATGGCTTTGCACTCAATAAGGCTGTGGAGACAGAATGGAGCTAGAAGAACTCTTCGCAGTATGCACAAAATGGGAAGCCATGCTAAAAGGGTCCACTTGGTCATAAGCTCTGTGCCTTCAGGGGCATCTTTCTGCTATTCTTGGTCATAGAGTATCCCTTGTGTCTCATTAACCTTTGAATCTTGGGGTCTCCTGTTTATTTTTTGCATTGTTTTGTTTATATTTCCAGTATAGTAGCTTAGTCAACTTGCATTTCTTATCCAAAATTATTTAATAACTTCCTATGATGCCCCATCTTATTCCTCCATTCTCCTCTCCACTCTGCACCAAGCATGCAATATTCCTTTAAGAACACTGAATTTTATGGCATCATCACATTGGGAATATGTAATAAAAGTTACATACCCCTAGCCTGATATTTTCCCTAGATTTCTATGCTTTTGCACAGGTTTATTTTGTATGTATGTATGTGCATGTGTATAGACAGATACATATACATGTATACACAGACATAACTAGTAATACATAATGCAGGATAAATTGCATAATGCATAATGGAGTGCCCGATATAAGTCACACAACACTCTTGCCCATAAGCACATGAATGAAAAATTGAAAAGGTACAAATACATTAACAATTTCAAAATGTATAGGTCATTAAAAATAAGACTAATGGTGGATTGTTTAGAATATTGAATTCAGAGTAATTTATTAAGCAGCTTTACACTTGTAAGTGCAAATTCCAAATATGACTTACTTACGTGCATTTTGTCATTCAATAATTTGTACATTCATCTGAAAAAATGCTCAAGAATCATCTCAGAGTATTTAATCTCTTCCTTCACTTCCTTTAAAGTGAAATTTAATTCAGACTTACATAGGGTATCTATGTCATGGATACTCTCTATAGATTGTTGTCAGTATGAATATATGGCAGGTATGTTGCATTTAGTTATGATGCTCTGAAATGAATAAGTAGGACATGACATACTCCTGTTGACTGGTTTGAGGCAAAGCCAATTAAGACAGCAATTATTTTGACCTCTAATCTTTATCAGCCTTCAATAACTGCAGTGAGAGATATTCAGATAAAAGAGGAGCTGGGTAGAACACCTGACTTGGTATAAAGTTACTAACATAAGTAACAAGTAACAAACCCTATACCTGCTGTTAGTTAAACTGGTTCAGTTAGCCATGGCCACTTTGTTAGTAGTGAGACATAATGCTTAAAAGTGTGGAAACAGAAAAAAATTAATGAAGAACAGCTGGAAAATAAGACCAGCAAGATGTGGATAGTCATTCATGTTTGACACAAAGCTATACTCATATATTAAATATTCACTATTGCCACTGCAAGGAAATGAATATTAATAATTATGAGACTGAGACATTAATTATGACAATTGCTCCTTAATAGAAAAGACAGTCAAGTAAGCAAAAATTTTGGAGAAATTTCAATTGTCAATTTGAGAGAAGAATAATTTTTGTTATTAAAATAAGCATCATGTTATTTTTCTACTACCGCAGTAACAAATTACTACAGTTTAAAATGACACAATTTTATCACTCACAGCTTTTCAGGTCTGAGGTCGGCTTGGTGTTTATGGGTGCTCTGGGGAAGAATCCACTCATTCAGAATGTTGGCCAAGAGTTTACTTCCATATTCATGCAAGAGTGAAGTCCTTCTTTTTTTAGTTGACTCTTGGCTAAGGACTGCCTTTAAACTTCTAGAGACAAAATTTTACTTTCTGAGTTTTCGAAGATCTTTTTATTTTTCTAGTTGTTTGATTTGTTTTCTGTCTTCAATCTTGGACTTTTCTCAAGAGTGTGATGCTATCTGGATGTTCTCTGGAGTGGTGCAAAAGAAAATGGTTAGGAGGGGATACTGGTACAATCCTGAACGTGTCAGCAGGCAGCCTTCATAAGTTACCCAAAATGATTGGATTTATACATCTTACTCTGGTTACGGTTCATGATCTGTTAAAGTTTAAACCTAGAATGCCTCTCAAACAGTCTCATGTGCTCAGAGATGTGGCTTTGGAAGATGACTGGATCATGGAGATGTTATACTCATCAGTGAATTTATCCACTAATGAGTTCAGTAGCTGAATGTGCTATTAGCAAGAGGGATTACAGGCTGAAATGGAAGGGTAAATCTCCCTCCCTGGCTCCTCTCTTCTTTCTGTGTTTCCTGGTCCCTATAATGTGAGAAGCTTTCCTCCATAGCATGCCTTCCACCATGCCATTTCTGAGTTCGATCCTGCCAAAGCCAGACTGAGCCTTTAGAAACTGAGTTAGAATAAACCTCTCCTCTATTAAGTTGTGGGTGTGAGGTATTATGTGTCAATGATGAAAGTGACTAAGATAGATGTACCAGAGAAGTGTGGTTGTTTCCATGACTGCTGCTGGCCATGTGGTTCAGAAGTCCTTGGAAATGGTTCATGGAATGGAGTTTGAAAAGGTTTGGAGATGCCAACTAGAGAAGCTGTAGAATACTATATGCCAAGCTTATTGGAAGATTCTGGTTAAAGCTTAGAAGATCAGAATGTTGATAGAAATGCACATGGTAAAGGCCAGGCTCATGAAGTTTCAGTTGAGAACAACGACTCCATTGCCAGTTGCACTCAAGGCCATGTGTATTATGCTCTGGTAGAAAATTTGTCTACATTTTGCCTGAGAATTTGTGGGATACTGAGATTAAGGGTGGTGTATTAATTAATCTGGCTGGGCGAGGAAATTTGAAGGCAACCCAACATTCAGGCTGTAGCATAAATAATGCTATCAGCTTTTAGCAAGACCTACAGTTATAAATTCCCTATGATGAATGACATAATTATTCATATCTAAAATGTACCAAGAAAATAAAGCCACCTGCTCCCCCTAAAAAAAAATCTATAGTAAGAATCAGGAGCAAAAAGCCCTTTAAAGTTTGGAGTTTTAACAGAAGGGAAACACCTACAAAGTTGGGGCAAAGGAGAGCCTGTTTGCTGAAAAGATTAGCATTAAAAAGAAGACAAGTATTTGTTTCAGGATAATAGGAAAGATGGCTTGAGGGCATCTTAGGAATCAGCAAGACCCCACCATACATAGTCTCATGGGTATAAAAAGTTAAAGCTTTCATTTGGAAAAAAAAAAAGCTCCTGGGATTCATTTCACAATGCTCAGTCGTCTAGGCACCCAAAGGCCTCTGCAGCCATGATTCAAGGAGTCTGGGTTTGCACAAGCTTGTGGCAGATGTTACCATCATTCATACAGCTTGTTTTACAGGCATACAGAATGCAAGAGTTCTGGAGTCAGGGAAGCTTCTACCCGAAGTAAGGCTTGGGTGGCCAAGTAGCATGCCCCTGACAGCACCATGCAAAAAGTTGTGAAATTGAAGTCAAAAGTGCGGAGGAGATCCCAGGAATTTGAAAAGCCAAGAATGTTGAATGCCTGCTGAGGAAAGTCACAGGCAGTGAGAAGAGTCACCCAAAATAGAGGCCAATGGTGTAGGGGCAGAGTTGTCTAAGCCTTTTAGAACTCTCATCTCATCACAACTTGATGCAGGTGCAAGACATGAAGGTACAGGATTTAATGATTGCTTTGCTGGTTTAGGTCTTGCTTTAGTCCAATTTGTTTCCATCTCTCTATTTCTCCCTTTTGGAATGGGAATGTTTACCCTGTGCCAGTATGTCAGCAGTGTTTAGTTTTCTTTTTGACTTTTATACAGGCTCATAGGTAAGAATGCTTTCAGTCTCAGAGAGACTTCAGATTTGGATTTTTCAGCACTGTCAGAACTGCTAAAATATTAGTGACTCTTAAAGATGGACTAAATGGATTTTGCGTAAAGAGATGCACATAAGTCTTTTGGGACACAGGGTCAGAATGTGTGGTTTCAATCTTAAACGTTCCCCCAAATTCTCATATGCTCAGTGGTGGAACTTTTGAAAGGTGTTAGGATCATGTGGGTGCTATACTTATCAGTAGATTCATCCACCAACGAGTTCAGTAGCTCTTATGGGTTCCATGTAGATGTCTCCGCAAAGGTTTATGTGCTGATAGGTGGGCTTTGGGAAGTGACTGGATCATGGGTGTGTGATACTCAATACTGGATTAGTCCACAGATGGGTTTATAGCTGGGTGTGATGTTGGAAAGTTAAACCTGGTAGGGAGAGGTGAGTCACTGTGCATGTGGCTTGGAAGGGTGTGTATCACTCCTCTCTTGATCCCTCCCTGTTTCCTGCCCGCAAGCCATGAGCTCTTTCTCCTCTGCCTTGACCCTCTGCCAGGCTACTTTGTCTGGTGCCAGCTGACTTGAACTGAAACCTCCACAAACTGTGAGCCAAAATAAACCTCTCCTCCTTTAACTTGTGGATGTCAGATATTTTGTACTGGAAATGAGAAAGTAACTAAGGCAATAGCTAAGTGTAGACATGACTTGGAAGGATATGTCTCTATCCCCAGTTTCTCCCTTTTCTTTTTGCTTCCTCGCTGTCGTGGCATGAGTATCTTTTCTCTGTGGCAGGCCCTGCTACCATTCAGTTTCTATATTTGGGCCTGCCAATTATGAACTGAAATTTCTGAAACTGTGAGGCAAAATAACCCTCTCTTCTAATGAAGGTGTATGTTGGTATGGTGTCTTGGAGATGAAGAAAGTGACTAAGGCAGGAATTCACAGAAAGAGCTTCCACTTTCTTCTTTTGCATTGGATCAGCCTGGTAGCCTTAATGTGAGGCAGGGAGGTTGCATAGTCCCAGTCCTCCACTCCCCAGTTGCGTTGCTTTTTATTTTCTAGTTGCTTTTTAAATTTTTAATGTCATTTTGCTTCCCTCAGAGTCTGAATATGAAAGATTTCTGATTGACTCCATGCAGAAACATGAATTTGTCTCTAGAGTGTTATAGGAGGGGCAGGTGTAACTATCCCCAGCAGGAGAATCCTTTTCAGCGCTTGGCTTTGCTAGTGCCTATGTGGACACAATGCTTCTCACTGCTTCTGAAGCATGCTGGCTTTAACCCCTTGGCTCTGCTTATCCTTTTATTATTCTTCTATCAACTTTCTCACTTTATAATTTTGGTATAGGGCCACTATATCTCCTTGTGTAATTGAATATGGTATCTATTCTTTTGCACCTCATTCTTTTCTTATTTAGGGGTGAAAGAAAAGACTAGAAAAACTTTTATTTCATTATCTTGAATCCCAAAGTTCACCATCATCTTGAAGATGAAGAAACTAGTATTCAGAGAGATTCAATAACTTCCATATGGTCTCTTGCCTGCCTTTCAATTTGGAAAATGTTTATTGGGTCAGGATTTTCAGTGTGATGTGCAGTGTAGACTTACCTGTAACTTTCAGTTAGGTTCATTCAGCTGTTGGCTGTCAGTGGAGGTAGCTATCCATGCGGTGGCTGAAGCTTGACCTTTAGAGAGCATCAAACTCAACTCAAAATATGACAGATTTATCGATATTAGAGAGGCTATTATTACCCTTCCTGCCTTCCGGATTCATTATGAAGCTCAAATAAAATACTGCTTGTAAAGCATATGTGCAAAAGTTAAATGGATTTTCTTTTTTTTTTTTTTTTGGTACTGGAGATCGAACTTAGGCTCTTGTGCTTGCAAGGCAGGCAGCAGAACCACTGAGCTAAATCCCCAGCCCTGGATTTTCTTAAGTACATAGACTCTGAAATACTTTGGTATTTCTGGAGGAAGTTCTCACAGAATCCAAATAGAGTTTTCTTTTGATGAGATTACTGGGTTCTGATGGTGGCATCTCCTTTGTTTGTCTTCTCTATTCGCCTTGATTTCCCTGAGGGCTCAGCACCAGACACTGTATCGTGGATCTAGACTTATAACCCCATGTGGTGTCAACAGACATGCTGGATGGTTCCCTAATGGTAAGAAACAAATCCCTGGCTCTGCATGAAAACTTCATGCCATTAATGCCAAAAATGCTTATCACTCTCATCCCCAAACTGATCCCAAAGACAAAAGGCAGCTCTGAGCCCCAGTCTCTTCAGCGGAGGACACAAGCCCTAAAGTCATTTTCATCTCTGCATCTGCCATGCCCAGAACAGCCCTGCCTATGGCATGTACTGTTAACTTTAGTAAAGAAAGTGTTGGAACATGTTTTTTCACTCCTGGGTCATGGTGGGTCAGGGAAGACAGAGAAAACTGAATAATTAGCAACTGCAGGATTAAATCCACTATATCACCTACTTAAGTCAGGAGCCAATAGTGTGATAGAGATGATTACTAGCTGAATGGTGGGTGAGATGTTTTAGGTGGTAGTAGTGTAGCTCTTATAACAAATTGATGGGTAGAAGACTGTGACCATGCTTGGATTTGTCAGACATTATCTGTCTTCCACCAAAACACTCCTGAATTATTTCACAGATGAGGAAACCAAGCATAGTTTGAGTGTGGCCAGCTACAGAGATAGACAGAGAGTGATCTTAGAATAGACTTCTTTTCATAATTTGATGTCATCTTTTGTTGAAATGACAAATTAGTAATTTGCATTGAGCCTCCAAGAAATAGTATTTTCATCCTTTTTCACCTAAAACAAATGACCTTTGTCAGTAAACATTATTGGGGACTTTTAGCAAGACATTAAAAAAGTTGCTATGTATGTTGAAATTTATCAAGAGCTGTTATTTCTGCTCAGGAGGGATCCATTTAACTTTAAAATTTATGAGTCTAAGTAATAAGTTTCCTGAAAAACACAAGAAGTGTCACAAAAGAAGTATAATGTTGAATTCAGGAACATTAAAATTATTCTATGTGCTTCCTAATGGTCTTGTGCTACACTACCAGACCTTATTAAAATGAAGGAGGAGAGGCAAAAAGTAGAGATCATAGGAGAGGTAAAAAGTAGAGATCATCTGGAGCTACACTGAAACTCATTATCCAGGGTCAGTTTCACAGGAAAATACATTACAGCATTAGCAGTTGATTGAAATCCAAGGCTTGTTTTATGGTTTTTCTTCTTGGAAGAACAATGATTTACTTTAGAAGTGGTAATCGCTTCAAAGCTTTCAATAATCTCCCATATGGAACAAATGGACTTCATTAATTTAAAGACCAGAAAATTTTAAATAAAATGCTGTCATTTCTCCCATTAATATTGAGTTAACATCTTTTTGAGAAAAAGAGGCTTATCCTTTTGATTAATGTTACAAAGATTTAGTCAGTAGAGAAATCCATGGATTTTACTTTAGTTGAAGCAGTCAATTCTCTGTCAATTTTGTCATGAAATGTTTACATTATCATCTGTTCTCCTGTAGCCTTTAAAAAGAAAAAAATATAATTTCATATGCCTGAGTATTACCTCTGAGAATCATTGAAAAATATGTGTTTTGTTGATATCTATTAGACTACACCAGATATGATTACCTGTGCCTGTGTTCCTGACTTGTGCTGCCTGTCAAACTTTGGACTAATTGTGTGCATGACTGTGTTCGGAGAAAGCAAGGTATGTAACAAGCTGTTCATGGGATAAAGACATGCAGAGTGGCTGAGTGGCCAAGGGAGATGATTTAAGCTTCAGTGAAGTTCAGGTTTTAAACAAAGAGCCATCTGTGAAAAAAGCCACAGCAAGTATCCCAGCTGAGCAGTGTGGCACATTCACTTATATTCCATTAGGAAATGTTTGTTTTGTGGCCTCCATGAGCAAGACAGTTTACTGAATAGTCAAAATGCGCTGGGTGTGATGGTGCACACTTATAATTCCAGCCACTGAGGAGGCTGAGGCGGGAGCATGGCAAGTTTGAGGTTAGACTGGGCACATAAGGGAGACCTAGTCTTGAAATAAAAAATAAGAAAGGCTGAGGCTGTCGCTCGGTAGCAGAGTAGGTTCAATACCCTATATTTGAAAACAAACAAACAAGGAGACCAGAAACATACTCCCAAATAGATGCCATTTGCTGGGGATGAGGCAGTTGACAGGCAGACCAACTACCAGTTACAGCCCAGTGGGATGGGTCACAAAGATGACGGTACAGACGTGAGGCATGGAGCTGGGCGTATGTCCAAGCTCAATGAGATACTGAGAGAATTCACATAGCTTTATGTCTAGGCTCTATTTAGAGGCTACTTCGGAGGAAGAAGGAGGGAAGCATCCAGGCAGGGGGAAGACTCTGTCCAGATGAACAGTTTGAAGGAGCATGAGGCATGTGCTGGTGCACTCAGCAGGAGGAAGAAGTTTGGTGTGGTTGGCTGATAGGACTCTGGCTATGTGAGGACTCCGGTCCTTATTTTAATAGGGACCCATAATTTGAAAAGTCACCCAATGGTTTTAGGATGAGCAGTAACATCTCCCAACATTCACCTTTCCAAAAGCTGTTCCAAAAGTCATGCAGAAAGGGAAGCATGAGTAGAACAGAGCAGGGATGGAATCTCTGCCACTTGGACCTGGGCACCCAGCTGAGAACTACATAGTCTGGGGCTGACCGGACCCCAAAGGCTTACAGTCAGCTGTAGAATGGTTCACTCAATTCTGGTGGTTGATCATGATACTCCTTTGTGACCTTCCCATGACTTCTCAATGGGCCTGCGCTTCCTCAAAGCATGACAGCTGGGTTCTAAGGGCAAGTGTCCCAAGTGTTAGGCCAGAAGAAGACACAGTCTTCTAATCTAACCCAGGCCACAATGCAGTGTCCTTCAGCTGCACTCTGTCTTGCTATGGAGGTAGCCGGAAGGGGAGGAATATAACTTCTAATTCTATGAGAAAGAAGCAGATGCCAGAGAAGTCAGTGAGACCACAAAAATGATTGCATTCATCCTGGGAAATGCAGTACTACTGCAGTTGCAATTGAAAAACAGAGTACTATAGCCATCATTCTGGAAGCATGCAGCCATCTTTGAAAAAAACAATTTTCTATAAAAGTTGTAATACAAAGAAAATTGTATTGTAAGCAAGAGGGAAGGTGGAAGGAGAGGTTGAATCCAATCAGAACTCTTGAAAGAATGCTGGCATCTAGGAGGGAAGGAGCAGAAGCAGAGAGTGAATTATAGTGATAGAAGAGCGAGGTAAGGGTGACTTGCAGCAAGACAAAAGCAAAATGGGCTAGTTCTAAAGAGAGAGTCCCAGGAAAGCTGGACTCAATTTATGGGCCAGGGAAGAATCTGGGATGAACTCTCGCATTAGTAAGGCAACAAATGGGTGGAGAAGGAGAAAAACCACAGTGCCTCTGGCTCAGGAAAGTGGAGCAAAGAGACAGAATGCATAGTCCTGGGGATTCTAGTGGGGTGGTTTGGTGTGCTCTGCATATTCATGTGTGAAGCTCATTACAAAAGTCAGAGCTGGCAATCACAATCTAGTAAGATGAGGTGAATTTAAAAGGTGAATAGAGTCAGCCAAGTGGATGAAGAAAGATGACTGATATTCCGGAGAGAGGGAATTGTTTGAGCAAAATCACAGAGGCAGGGACCAGAGGATCAATGCTGTATGCATTCGCATGATTAGATTAAAAAGCAACATGTGGGCTTAAGGCTGAAGAGTCAACCAACTTTGATAATAGCAGGTTTACAGATTCAGTGTGAAATTGCCTGTTTGGGTCAATCCACATGCTCATTAATCTATGGTGTCTTTCCAGATGGGGATTGTGCTTAACATTATTAATGCCATTCAATCCAGCAAGTGTAAAAGCAGTGAGCACCGAAAACAGTGACAAGAAGCTTGTGAGTTGGCGATGGGAAGACAGGGTGATTAGGGTGATAAGAGCACAGTGAGAAGTGCTCAGGTTTTTATGATTCATATTTCACGAAGTAGGGTTAGTTTTGGAAGATCCAGGGTGAGTTCTGGCCTGTTCAGGAGAAAATAATCCATGAAAGTTGAGGGTTCAGGGCTAGGCTTTGAGGCATCCAGAAATTTCTTGCTCAAAGGAACTCAGGGCCATTGAAGCTGGAAAAAGTGGTTGTGGAGACTCTGGTCCACCCAGAAATGCTCTAGACACTTCCATCTGTGTGGATATATCTGGGGGTGTGTGTACAGCCTGCCTATTCACTTTGAAGTTATGAGTTATTAGCATTCCAGATGTTTCTGGGATCTGTTCAGGGAAGAGAACTGATTCATCCCCTGAAGTCTGTATGCTTTTGGAACCAGTAGCCTGAACTTTGCAACCTACATATTCGTCTATACAGTTCAATTGTGCTACATTATAGTCAGTTCTTATATTTTATGTATACCTTATTTAACAAGCAGATTAATATTTAAGCATTTGTTTAAGCTACTTCCTCTAGTCCATTGAACTTTCTTTGGAAATTAAATGTCAGGCTCCTGCTTAGTGAATAATTAGTCAATGCCAAAGAATGTATCTTTTGACAATCAATTAAATTTTGTAAGTATTTTATTCATGAAAGCTCATTATAAAAATGGGTGTCTTTCATTTGTTCTGGATTTTAGCTTTTTATTAAAATAAGTACAAATTATTTAAATGATAAAAACAAAACAAACAAAGCCAAAAAGTTAAGCAATCAAATAGACCATTTCTTGTCTGACTAAAACATTATGTGAAGGTTAGTTATATAATGCCACTTTAGGGGTAACAGTCCTTTGAAAGTGAAACATGTCTACTGCCTCATTCCTCCTACAAGGTTGTCAATGAGACTACACTGAGCATTTCAGAATGAATGCCCTCCTTTCTTTTGCTATTTTAGGATTGCTTAATTTCAGCTTTGAAATAATTAACTAATAAGAATAATGAGGTTTTGATCCCCAGTACCAAAAAAAAAAGCAAAAAAAAAAGAATAATGAGGTGTTATGATTGATAAAACTAAGCAATAGCTTTACTATAGTAATTTCTTTCATTTTTCTGGTAATTAAGCTTTTTTAATAATCCTTCTGAATTGTAAAGTTCAGAAGAAAAATTTAAAAGATATTTCTATCATTCTGACTCCTTAATAACAATGTATCATAAGTCTCACATTTAATATAGAATATTAAATGTCAAAAGTCTCATTGTGTCTAACAGAAGATAAATGCATTATGATAAATTCTCTTTGCCAAATATTTAATAAATATTTGTTGATTGAACAGAGAAATGAGATAAGGATCAAAATTTTTGTGTAAGGCCTATGAGAAATGTGAGCCTGATTTAAGGAAGAATCTTCCGTTGGATTTTATATTTTTTAATTTCTTGATATAATAATGGGTAATACTTATAGATACTTTTAAAAGAAAATACCATAAAACTAGAAGACATTTTTTCCGATCAATCACTTTTTTTCTTAGGCACTGCACTCAGGGCTTCACGGCACCATTATTGTTTACATAGAAACAGTAATTTTTGAAAGCAGAAAAGAATGCTAAGAAAGACACATGAGAAAATAAAGTCATTCAAAACATTAGTTCTTGCCTTCCATAATACTGTGGAATAGTTATTGAATGAATGTGTCTATTAAAAAAGTAATAAATAAACTGAGAACATTCAAAACATTATTCAAAAGCTTTTTTCAGCTAAATGGATTTATAGTTTTATAGTTTGGCTATTCTCCAAATGCCCAGTAATGGTAGCATTGATTAGAGAGGAGTGGATTTGAATTTGGGGGCAAAATTTGAACTGAATAATAGCCAACATGACGACTTTGCAGTAAGGACCTCTTATCTTTCATTTTCACACCCCTTTTACCCACTTACCTCTTCCACACTCCTTTGCTTGAGGGAGTACCCATTATCTCTTTTGTCTTCCATCCATTGTTGTTTAGTTCAGTGCTTTCAAGGTGCTGGTGAGAACTCTGAAGAGAATTTTGACTTTAGAAAGCTTTGCAAGAGGATGACCTTAAATGAGAAAATGCCATTGAGGAATTCTGCAAGTTGGCCACTCCTCAGGGTGTGTCAGGAGTCATTATTATTATTACCTAAACAGCCACCTAGGGAGAGAAGAAATAACTAACTGATCATTGTAGGTGGCACAGACAAAAGAAGAAGTAAAAAGTTAGCATTTTTGTTTTCTATAAACTTTTATAAATATTGACCAATGTGGAACACAGGCAAGACCATATCCAGAACATAGTTTGTTGGATTGATTTTTTTTTCTGTATTTGAATGAACATAGTCGAAATGAATCATACAATATTATTGAAGTTGCAATCCTAGCACTAGGCTAACCTCTCAGTGTTGTATCAGAACTTGTGAAGTGGACAAATCTTGATTACTATTGTCTACCTAACTCTGACCATCAGTATGTTTATCTTGAGAACATTTTCCTCAAGTCCTGAGAAGATAAGGCAGACAGAAGTGAGAGACTCGGGTTGGTCTACTGTAATTTTGTGATTCTAGTTACCACCTGCTTGATGACTAACCTCAGCCCCTGTCTTTAGCTTCCACAGTTCTGTGGAGAACTGCATGAAAATATGCAAATGCTTCCTGAGCCCTCCTGTTTTCATATCTAGGAAGGATATCAAAGTCAATATGATAGAAAATAAACTTGTTATTTTCCTAATTCAGCTCCATCTCCCATGTGCTTC